CACAAAATTGCAATGTAGCATTTTATCTGCTAATAACCAGTATTGATGAAATTTAGAAAAAAATTCGTAGACGATTCATGGCAATAATGCTGCTTCGATATTATGTTTCTTAACTTTAAAAAAATTGGGTCAACCAATCCTACATAGAGATTAATATATAGCTAATATTGCTAGAGATCAATGTGCTCCCGCGTGGTTTATATTCATTTAGTTTAACCAAATCTAATCTACCTACTCAAGATGAATGTAAAAACGAACCTTTCTCGATAGTCATGTTGACATACTATTAATAACAGCACACAGCAACTCTTATAGAAACTTACTTAAAACCAAAGTTCACAAACCATTAACTCACTGAGGACCCAAGATGCAGTTATGTCTTTCGGGGTCCTGTGCATAGGGTGCTGTGCATATGCAAAATGTAAAGAAGCAGCTCCCCAACCTATTTAGTTAGTTATGCTCTAATACTAGAACAACCTGTTTGCTCTCATGCTTTCCAAATCTGATCAATCTGGAATTAGTTCCCACTAAATAGAAATAATCCGGGCCTTTTAAAAGGAAGCTCATGTAGTTGTATCAATACCGAACGCAAACCTAGTCGTAAGCAGTACCTATATTCCTCTATATATTACACTAAAGTTACTCGATAGCACCAACTATATAACGCTTCTAAACAACTCGCATAGCCGATAATCTAATTTTGATAAGTAAATATTTCTTATCTCTCTCGGATCACGAGCAGTAATCTTTTCCACTCTTCATTCCATTGAGATAATTTTAGTGTGTAAAAGTGTCATACCGTGGCTTTCTATGGATTCTACCTATAGCCTAAAACAAAGCTCGTCTTTATTTATAGTTTAAACAGTCAAAATGAAAGTTAAAGACAAATCTTACATATATAAACCTTATTAAAATTATCACAAACTATGAGACAATAATCATTAGAACAATTTTAATTGTTTTAATTATAAGTGATTAGTTTTTATCATTATAATTATCATTATGAGATGTAATACTCATTATAAGATTTGTTCTAAGTCTAATGCTATACAAACATGTTTGTATGTTGAAATTAAATTTCTATAGATCCAAAGCCTAAAGATCACAGGCTTCAAAATCCAATAGGAAGGCAGGAATCTTCTGATTGCCAGATATAGAACTATGAAGAACTTCCATTGATGATGACTAACGGGATAAAAGGATTTCCTTGACGACTAGTGAATGGGTGCAAAAATTGAGGATCACATGTATATCAATATATAGGATCTGTGTGTATGAAAACGTACCAGTGCAATTTATACTACTCTACTGCATTTGTCGTTCCATATTTTTAATAAAGACTTACTTTCATTCTCTTCCATTCTTAGAGAACATTCAAAACTACTTATATAAATTTCGGTATAGAATAAACTTGACAACAAAATTTTCAAACGTTTTTATTTAGAACTAAGTTTTCTACATTTATGATTAAGTAAACTGAAATATACTTAAGCACATCAATCATACTCGTACAAAACGCTGTCAAGGAGGTTTAATTTTCGCTACATAATAGTCTTTCATGTCACTGTTTTCGCAATATTAACACCTGTTGTTTTCTATCGCAGGAAAAACTTTACCTTTTCTTATTTTCTCTAAGCAAAATCCTTAAATCCTTAATAAGGAAAAACAAATGGCATAAAAGTAGGTAATCCTCGCTTAAACCACACAAATTACTAAATTAACAGCTTCGTTTCCAGCTCCAGTTATACGTGCATACCAGCCCACCCAAACCCAAGGAAACATCATTTGCCGTCAAAAGAAATTTATGTTCCAAAATAAGGAAAATAGAGGATATGAGAGGATATGAGAGCAAATAGAGAATTCATAGCTGGCAAAAGAAATACTTTTATGAAACTGAACGTCTGTCAATTTTCTGCGTGACCAACAATAAAAGTGGAGCTCTTTTAACGTTTAACCAAACCGTCGTCTTAAAACGTTAATAGGCACACTTTTTATCTTTTTACGAGTATCCTGTGTGAGTACAAATGTTATCCTTTTAGATATGAGATGAATTTATGAACGTTTGTTTGTCTCTAAGTGTATGTAGAAGTGAATTCCTATATCCAACCCAATCTAACCTTCACTCAATGTGTTTCCTCCTTTTTGAATGCATGAATTTTTTAGTGCCTTTAACGTTTATCTGCTTAACAACAAACATGTCTACTTTGGCTTGAAGGGGACGTTGAGACGTTGATGTTAGCGGTAGAGTCAATGGTAGAGGCATTGGCAGAGGCAGTGGCAGTATCAGTGATGGAAGTTGCTCTTATGCCTTTAAGGTTACATCAACATTTACCTTAACTCAAGCGGCTGCTGTGTCTTACCTAAGTGGCTGCTTTTAGAGACTTAATCCTGTCATTAGTGTTATTAGCACAAGAAACGTGACATAGGCACATCCTTATGCTTTATGCACATGGAAACTAAATTTTTATGTCAAAATTTACATGTTGCGCATTTTGTTAACTAAAAACGTATATGAATAAAAGTAAAAGATTCTTTAAGTTCTTCTGGAATTTCTTATTTCGCCGCTGTGGCGTATGAGTGACATTGCTCTAAATAGTTTTTTAATATGAAAATAGTAACCTTTAAAGTTTAAAAGCAGAAGTTTTAGATACATTAAAATAAAAATTTTTATTTTTGGTTTTTTAATACCAAAATACTTTTTATTTTAAAAGCAAGTTTATTAATATCACTACGGATATAATCTTATTAAAACTTTTAATTTGACTTCATACAAGTTAAGAGTTTCATATTGAATTTAAGTAAATGCCCTTTCAAAGGTGTTATGATTAATAACATCTATCTTTTACTACTTCTAAGTGCCTTGTCCGATTGGAACGTTGACTATGATAATATCCAGAATACATATTTTTTTTTTCAAATTGTGTACTAATTCGTATAGTTATAAAATACATTCAATAAATAGCTTATAAATAAAATACTATTAATAAATAACTTATTATCAATATAAAATACTATTTATAAGTAACGAAGTTGAACAGAAACTTTATACGGAACCCTAATACGTGTGTTAGGGGCATCCACGGATTAAAACTTGAAAATGCTAGTAGTGTACAGAGACTCCGATTCAGCATAGTCGTTCCAATGGAAACAGCTTTCACTATTTTTCAGATATGATATGATATAATAGTTGATATAATAATTATGTGTATAATGTCGTGAATTACGAGCTTCAAAGTAGTCGAATTTAAAAGCTATATAATTTCTTTATATTCACAAGGAGGTAAATCTTACTAATACCTATATTGTCGGTTACACCTACGTAACTTATATTAAGTAGACTCCATCATGAAGTTATCCAAAACTAACTCTGCATTATTGTTTCTGAAATGTTTACATAAATTATTTATTTTTACCTAATTGCAATATCGCCTCACACAAAAACAATACAAATAAACTCTCATAAAACTGTATTAATAAAAACAAAGATTATGGAAATGGGCTTCAGGTAGTCTAATCCAAGACATCAAACTTAATACATCGGTATTAAAGTCAAAATTCTGATATCTTCTAATATCTGATATCTTTTGATATCTGATATCTTCTGATATCTGATATCTTCTGATATCTTATATCTTCTGATATCTGATATCTTCTGATATCTGATATCTTCTGATATCTAATATCTTCTGATATCTAATATCTTCTGATATCTAATATCTTCTGATATCTGATATCTGATATCTACTGATATCTGAATAATAATTATTTATTAATTCAATAGAAATTCATGATATATTCTTACTTTATTGCACGGCCAATTGAAGCAAAGTAACGGTTACTTTCATGCAATTCGAAATTTATGTATTAAATTCCAACAAACATTTTCCTCGATTTCACTTACTGTTTTAGATCTTTAATAAATAATAATATATTAACCAGGTGAGAATTAAAATGATTTCAGTTCATATTCATATGACCAAAAATAGATTTACTTCGAGATTTTAATACTGTAAATTATCAAACAATTCACTTGCAGCTCGATGACTGGAAGAAGCATCTGCATAGTAGCGAGAACACGGCTCTCCATAAATAAGGCTTTCCAAACTGAGTTGGAACCAGGATCATGGGGATTATGAATAACTATAACAAAAATTTCATTTGGGTTCTTTATAGTACGCTAGTACGGCGACTAATAATCTGGCTGAAAAACATCGTTACCATATCCTAATATATAAGTATTCTAAATCTTAGATATTCTAAGATACATATAACAATTTCTAGTATAAGTTGTGAGGCTCTGAGCCAACTGTTATGTGTTAAATCCATCTAAATATATTAATAGGGTCAATAGCTTTCTCAATATATATATAAGTATAAATCGATAGGACTTCTTAACTTGATAGGATCCTGTTTGCTATCACCTTTCAAAAATGGGACAAAACAAGTCCCATTTGCAGATTCTGTGTAATATAGAGTGAAATGTCCTCCCATCTTAAGTATAGCTGTCCTGCGTGTTCCAGAAAGCGAATCCTATACTCTTATTCAAATGTCATTAAATCGATTGAGTTCGAAGATCTAGAACTAAAAGATTTTTTTAAGATTATCAACCGTCTTTTATTTGTTAAGCTTAACTGAAAATACTCTATTCAAGGATAGTACAATAGATCTTATCGGGTAGGTATACCATTATCCAATATCATAATAGTAATATAATAAATAATTTGAAAGCAAATCTCAGTCAGTCGAATTATATACACAGTGATTTATTTATATAAATGTTTATAACATTTTAAGGATAATATTAAAAAAGCTTTATTTTCTCATTCATTGACATTGCAACCGAATTGTTTCGCCATTCAACTCATGAAATATTGAATATAAATTCAATATCAGCCG